TTATTTCATCAGATATTGAGCCTATTATAAGAAACAAATGAATGCACAAAAAATAAATTATACTTCACAGGTGTAGAGATCCTCCTTTATCTACATTATAAACAAAGTTTTCACATTTTATTAATCTTCTGGCCCGTTGGTTCTTTAAAGAATAAAATATTAAAATGATTCCTTTATATCTCTTTGTAAAACTTTGATTGCCGACTTCTATCTTTGGGGGTCATGAATAATCTGCACAAAAAACACTAAACTATGAATAATATCTTACTTTATATTCTTTTTATCAGCATTTTAAAGATTTATCCCTGTATATTCCGATGCATACCCTGGCTGCCTATTTTGGACAACCCTACCTTGAAGGATCTTGATTTGAAAAATTTCAATCTACTGTACCTTTGATGGCTCCTCATCGGTTCTCCATGAGAAGATTTTTAAAAATACCATTTAATTTTCGCTAATTAATAATCATTTCAACTTCGAAGATTTCCTTTCACCCATTGATATTTAACGTAAGTTTGATATATATTTTTTAATTGGTAAACTGATTCTTGAGAATTCTATGATGTGCAAAGTCTACAGATGGACGGCGAACAAAATTTTGATCTGAAAAGCTCACTAAATATAATAAAAAGAAGAAACCCGAAATACCATCTTAATGTTGCATCATAACTGCCCCTTTGTATTACATTCATGGAAGCTCATAATTCACAGACTACATGCATTGATTTTATAGGGGATAAAATAACTTTTATAAATTCTTACTTTGAGCAATATGATCAAATATCCGATCATACATCCTGGAAAAAAGTGAATTCAGAAGCTAAGTAACCGGGGGTTTTTATATCTTCTCTCTGCTTCCTGTTTAACATGGCTCATAAGAGGAGTAAAAATATTATTTTAGAATTGAATAATTCTAAGTTTGAATCTGATGTCATTTGTGCGAGGAATTTTTTTGAAGAAGATTTATCACCTTACTATTTATGTATGAGAAGCAAAATTATACATAAAAATGACATATTTAATTAAATTTACCCTATTTAAAACTTTTTAAAAAAACAAAGAAATTCATGTAAACAAACAGAGAAGAATCTTCCACAAATTTACAATGTAATTAAAATTTAATTGTTCATTCTACATTTACATCATACAACCTTTTCTTTCAGTGTCTGATATCCTTTATTTTGTTAACATATGCATTCACATTATAAGTAATATGAATTAAGATTATCTCCCATAATAATGCCAAAAATGTTCAATTTACGGCGCAAGATTATTTGCACACTGTTTGGGTGAATTTCTACTTTTTTCAACTTGGGTAAATCATCTATACCTTTCACCCCCTTATTCCAGACATATTCTTAAACGTACCACTTTGTATATTGTATCCTCCTCTCAACATTAGAAGTCTACAGGCGAAACACTGGTTTGATTTGAATTGTCTGAGGGATTGCAGAAAATTCTAATTCAAGCAAGATATCGCTTGTAGAGACGACTATATAGGGTTGTTAAGTATATAAAATATACAGATTAATGATTTATTTCAAAATTTGTTTCGAATTATGCAGGGAAAGAGAGAAGATTTACCAATGTCGGAAAGTGAAAAATTCTCCAAAAAATTTCGCAAATATTCTTGCGCCGTAAATTACATATTTTTTGCATTACTGGATCTGTAGCATTATGGTCAAATACTAAATATATAAAACCATAACGCTACAGATCTGCAGCTAGTTCAAGGTATCATTTATTTGTTGCTACTTAGGTAATATCCCTGTTGTTACAATCAATTTTCATTTAGAGTAAGATACGATGAATTGATTTATGCAACAAAAAAACTTTCATTAATTTTGTTAATTACTTGAACGGAAATTGATCTGTCAAACAGGTGATTCACATTTATTTGTCTTTATCGTGCGTTATCCAGTTAACCATTGTTATTTTTGAAAGAAAGGTGGGAGCAACCTTCAGGACATTTGCAGTATAGCGTGATTTTTTTTTTTTTTTGTATTTTTACATGGAGTTGAAATGTTCCAATTCTCAAAAGAACTGTTTGCAATTTTTTTAAAGTTTGTATATTGTGTTGAAACATCTAGAACATATGTCTAGTATTTTTCATACACTGTAGATTTTTATTAGAATCCCCAAGAAATCATGTCAATTTATATCTTTTCAACCACCCTGGTATTGCATATCTCCTTAAAAAGAATTGACAACTTGCCTGAAAACACCTTCACAAGCAAAAAAAAAGCATTCGGAAAAAAAAAACACTATTCCTTTTGAAACCTAAATTATGTATGCATTACTGAAATCGATATTACAACAAAAAGTGTCGGGGGGGGGGGGGGGGGGGGGGGGGGGGGGGGGGCTACCAGTCTATCAATAAACATTTACAATAGATAAAGGTTTTGGTTTGATCTGTTATTATAAGACCTGATCAAACACTCCTCGCGAATTTAATGTCATTATATGCTTAGTTTTCAACTAGAAACTTAACCTAACTTAGAATAAGTCCAATTTGTTCTGATGCAATCAAACCTTAATTTAGACAGCATTAACTTTTTTTCTACATTGAGTATTAGAAATAAAAATTGCTACGATAAATTATTGCGCACTAAGTTGGTCAAATGTCCAGTTCTTTTTATGTAAACTATTTTTAATTTCTTACCAATTTATTATTCAATTTGTAAAGCAAATGTATCAAGCATTTGATTATTTTTAAAGAAAAAAGATGTCAAATAATTTTACCACGAAAAACTTTTTTTAAAAAATTTCCCTGTAAATAAATCCACTTCTGTTGTTTTCCGAGTAATATTATTAGAATACATACTAAAACATCTTAACATTAATCAGGAAGTCAGGATTTTATTTTAAAGGTCAACTGAAAAGATCACCCACTTTCATTTAATTTACCCCTTATTATCTTCAAATAAATAATAGAATTCAGACTACTTTACTTATTCGGTTATATCTGAATGCATTACCGAAATATTTACGGTAAAAGTTGTCACACCTGAAATCTGACCTAAAATTGCGTGCGAGTTATGCCCCTTGACACGAACCCGCCATATTGAAACTATCGACGCTGAAACGTCACGATACAGACGATGGGAGATTGAAACATAAAATATGGTGTTGTGTGCTGCGCCAAACTGTGATATCCGATATGGACAGGGTGTATCAATGTTTTCTTTCCCCGACGATCCCAAATTATGCCATATTTGGGTAAGAAAGTTCAAAACTGTTGATTACTGGCCATCAAAACACTCAAAGCTTTGCGAGCGACATTTTACCCCCGACTGTTTTGTTATTGAGCCTTCAAGAGCGCGATGCATGGGGTACAGTCGACTTCAGTTAAAAAAAGATGCCACACCTAGCATCTTCGACTACAGACCATTGAATACTAAAGGCCATAAAAGGAAAACAGCAGATGTAGATGTTTCATATGTACCAAAACAAGGTCGGACATCGAATGCTCTGGAGAAAAGACGTGCAGTTGCAGTAAGTTTTTTTTTAAAGTTTACAAATGGATTTACAAAAATTTCAATGCGTCCATAATTGTTAAGATTAGTTTTAATAAAGATTAGGTTGGTCCATCATATATTGTACTTTAAATTACGAGGTTATCTTTAAAACTGCATGAATATTAGCCATATTAGGCCTAGCCTTTGTATGGGCTATAACGTTACGTGTACTGAAAAATAAATCACTATGCTGAACTTTAATTATATCTTAAATCTTATACAGACTCAGAACCTTAAGGAATTTCCACCCTCACAATTTTATAGGTTCAAAGTAAAAAAAACTGCATATATTTTCATTCAATATACTTTAAACTTCCCATTTATTGCAAAAAATGTATAGGTCACCATATTAATTAAGATGCAAAACATAAATAAACAGAAGTGTATGTCAACATAAAAAAATTGTACATTTTTTGTTAAAAGTATTGAGAAAAATATGTAAAAACTGGTAAATATGCATAATTCTGATGCTGAGTGTTCCTAAATACTTCCTACTTAAAAGATACTTTTGAAATGTGAATATCAGGTAAACTATTTTACAGAAAAGCAAATGCCTGAATGAAGAGACCTTAGAAGGAGTTATTGCCCTTGTAAACATTATTTAAAGATTGAATAATTGATTAAATATAGAAAATATGCATTTTTTGAATTCTTTAACTAAACAATATTTATCATTACACCTATTGTAAAGCATTCTTCCAAGAGATATTTCTCTATAAGGTACGAATTTAAACTAATTACAGTTTTTGCAAAAACCTATGACATCATAGGAGGGTGGAATTACCTTAACGAAGATATAGAGATTATTTTTCCTCCTCCTAGCCAGTTTCAGGACAGTCCAGAGACTCTAAACACAGAAGCTAGCTGTCAAAGCGACCCAATGACTTTTGAAATGTCTTCACAAACTACTTATGGATTGGTGGTAAGTTTTGTTACACTTGTATTGATTTGCCACTTGATTGACATAGAACATTTTGAATTTATCAAGTTATTTCAATTTTCTAATTAAATAATTATTTTCACTTGTAAATGTCTTATTTTGATTTTACTTCATGAATTTTAGAAACGCAGGCATGTCTCTATACAGACAGAGATTCAACCCAGTACAAAATCCTGTGGTACACAAACTGAAACACTGCTTACATTGGATGCACCTGAGGACCTTGATGAGAGCATTGAGTCACTGGTCAGCACAGATTCTGAAGCTTCAGAGTGGAGTCCACCTGATATTGATGAAAACAATAACACAGATCATCATGATGTTCCTCCAAGTCACTGTAGCAGAAAATTTATTGTGTTTGAAGAATGTTTAGACCAGCTTCTCCAGATTTGTACAATGTGCGGACAGAAGTGTGACGTTAAGAAAACCATAGTTGGAACTCTGTTGTTTGTGTCCAGGGTATGTGCCTGTGGGGAGACTTTCACATGGGGATCCCAACCCTTGACTGGATCAATTCCTACTGGAAACTTGATTTTGGCAGCAGCAATTTTGATTAGTGGCAGCAGTATAAATCAAAGTTTGACCATGTTTCAACATGCCAATATATCCTGTTTCTCAGAGAGAACCTATCACAACATCCAACAGCATTATCTTGTACCAGCTGTTGAAAGGGTTTAGAGAGCACATCAAAATGCAATATTTGATGTAATAAGACAACAGAATGTAGCTGTAGTTGTCGGGGGAGATGCTAGATGCTGTTCACCAGGACACACGGCTAAATATGGATCATATAGTTTGATGGACCTGGAGCTGAGACAGATACTTGATGTTCAACTAGTTCAGGTAAAAAGAGTGCAGAACCACTGTTTGTTATATTTTACTTTACTGCACTTGCATGCATATATTACTTCAACATTCAGCACTGAATATGTTATGTTTAAAATGTGTTAACATGGTTCGAGTTCTCAAAACAATATATGCTTAACTTTTATAGAGCAATGAAGTCAAAAGTTCATATTGGATGGAAATGGAGGGTTTGACAAGGTGCCTTAAGAGAGTGGAAGAGGAGGGTATAGTTATTAGTGACCTCGTTACTGACAGACATCCTCAGATTAAAGCTTACATGAAAAAAGAAAGAAGTGATATCAACCATTGGTTTGATATGTGGCATATGGCCAAAGGTAAACTTAGTTTACATGATACACTATTGTTTTATACAATCTAAAATGCATTGGGTATTCCTCATTAAAGTTACTTAACTGAATAGCTATATATAATTATCATTTAATAATTGATTTGTGTTTTGTAGGGGTGTTTAAAAAGTTGGAGGCTATTGGGAAGAAAAAGAAGTACAAGCAAGTGGGTGATTGGTCTCGGTCAGTTTCAAACCACCTATACTGGTGTGCGGCATCTAGCGAAGGAGATGGTGAATTGGTTTCTGAGAAATGGCTGTCTATCCTCAACCATATCACTAATGTTCATGAGGGTCATGGAAAGCGATTCCCCAAGTGCTTACATGGTGACCTGGAGGACAGAGATTGGATTAAGAAAGGTAACTGTGTAAGCATGGGTTTGAAAAATAAACAAAAACATTTCTGAGTCCCTGTTTGCAGATATACATTATAAGTTAGTACATTAGTATGAAGCACTATTGATCTAAACTACAAAATTTTATCCTTTTTTCAGGTAGTCTAGCTTTCCAGGAGATGGAAAAGGTTGTTAATGGCAGACTTTTGGTACAAGACATCAAGAAACTCTCCCCTGCAGAGCAAACTTCAGCCCTGGAAGCATACCACAATGTTGTGTGTCATTTTGCACCTAAAGCTCTGCATTTTTTTTATGGTGCAATGAAGGCCAGGTAAGTATTTTCTCCTTTTATTCAAAACTCAAATGCTAAAAATGATTTTAAAGATTTTAATCATAAATCACGAACTACGCTGTTCTTCTCTTTTTTCAGAATATACATTGCAGCCCTTCACTTTAATGAAAACTCCAGCCGGGATCAAGCTGTGAACAAAAATGGACAACTGATTTATTCTGTGTCATATCCCAAAGGCAGAAATGGAGCTGGCATCCCAAAGGAAGTCAAAGTTAAACAAACATACAGTAAGTAAAAGTTCTAAAACTGTCATAGAACTTAATACATTTAGTATATATTAGTTTGTCTTTTAAGTTAACTTTATTCTTTTATATCTCTTATAATTTATTTCTCTGTTGTTTTTTTTTTTACAGATTATGCAATGGTTTTAATGCAAGAAGTGATCAAAGTGAGGCTAGAATTTGGTTCATACAGTGAGTCCAGAAAGAGTCGTGAGGCTGCCATGGTGAACTGTCCCGCCCCAATTGCATCCTCGTACCAACATGTCCCAAAGTCAGAACTTGTGGAGCGACATATCTGTCGGTTTAATAAAAAATGTAAGTTTACTTACAATGAACTAGTAATCATGAACATACAAACAAAATGAATTGTGCCCCAATGTAAATAAATTTTTAGCTTGTAAACATCAATAATTTTCTAAGCTGTTAAAAATAATGTTGTCTTTGAGTCATTAAAACAGGGATAATGCTTTTGCTTGTTTATAATACAATCCTTAAAAGATGCCATTGATACGTACCTAGGAAATTCCAGTTGGATACTTAAAACCACAGTATTGCTGAGATGGGAAAGTAGTTGTAATCTTTGTTACTACACATGATGGCAATATCTTCCTGTTGTTTTTCCCCAAACGTTGCCATATCCACCTCACAAATCGTCGATATGCAAGATGCCTGTAAACACTAAGAAAAGACAAACTAATCAGAACTTACGACAAGTGCTCAATTAAATTTGGCAATTTTTTTTTTGGTTCACTGGGTGAAAAAAGTGGTTTCCCATCATGGGAAACTTTATGGAAACCATATGGAAACCTCAAGTTTACATCATGTTTCCCAGTGGTTTCCGTAGCGGATGCTAGGTTATTCCGCCAAGTTTCCGTGACACGGAAACCCCCTACGCTCCGATTCCATAAGGTATCCCGAACCACGGAAACCTCTGTAAACCTGAAGTTTCCCGAACATCCATGTAGTTTCCCGTAATGGGAAACCTGAAGATTCCACTGGTTTCCAGAATCAGGAAACTTGATGGAATCGGAGCGTAGGGGGTTTCCGTGGAATGGAAACTTGGTGGAATCTTTAGGTTTCCTTTTACGGGAAACTACATGGAAGCTCGGGAAACCTCATGATTCCCTAAGTTTCCTTGACTCAGGAAACCATATGGAATCGGAGCGTAGTGGTTTCCGTGGAATGGAAACTTGATGGAATCTTTAGGTTTCCTTATACGGGAAACTACATGGAAGCTCGGGAAACCTCACGATTCCTAAAGTTTCCTTGACTCAGGAAACCATACGGAATATGAGCGTAGTGGTTTCCGTGGAATGGAATCTTAAGGTTTTCTTTTATGGGAAACTACATAGAAGCTCGTGAAACCTTATGATTCCTGAAGTTTCCTTGACTCAGGAAACTATATGGAACTTGTGTAGCACTTTCTGTGTGGCAGAAACTTGGTGGAATTATCTGGAGTCCCATTCCTAATGGAAATTACTGGGAAACTTCAAGATTCCCTAACTTTTCTAAAGGAAGCAATGTGAAATAATGCGTATTCTTTTAAAAATCTATCAAAAAAAATTATTATATGTAAAAGAAAAAAGCATTACCACTTTATATGTTTAATAATTCATTTGATGTACAAAAACTGTAACTGAATTTTTCAATGATATCAAAATATTAAATAAATTCATATATCTTAGATAAACAATGGAACAGTCTTTCACATTTAAGTCCATTCATAAGGGTCATTCAGTTCTTCTTTCAACATCAGTTTCCTGGTTTTCTTCACATCACCTATGATCTGCAATATTCATACAAAATTATATATGTCAGAATTATAATGCTTGAATATAACTTAGAAATCTGAAAGATCAGTCAATGTCCTTTAATATACCAATATCAATAATTACTTTCCATGACCATGATACATATGATTTCAGCACTTAATGTATCTCTTTAATATTTAATGCTTTATGATAAGTGAAAAAAAAATAACGTAATATAAATAATGTTTTCAGCCTTATTATGTCATTGAGAATATATTACTTCATGTATCTCATACTAAGAACCCTGCTTTAAGTTTGATTAGTTTGAGAGAAAACATACCCTTTATAATAACAAAAATATTAGGGAGAGATTTTTTTTTTTAAATTTTGATATTCGACCTAGAAATTGGTTGAAGATCATTGCAGACCCTCCACCCCATTACACCAGGGGAGAAATATACTCTGGACTACGATTTTAAATAAAGATATACAGTAGATTTTGATACTGACCTTTGACCTAGAAAATTAGTCCAAGGTCACTCTTCATCCTCTATCCACAGGCTCTCTGTAGTTTAGGTTTGAGAGAGAAATATGCACAGAACAAGTGATATCAGATGGAGTGATGGGTAAACACTGTCTTAGGGCATCCACATAACAGGACCTAAAAATAATGCAATATATATGTATTACAGTATATATACACATGTACTTGTATGTTAATGATTTATGATATGCTGCATTTGACACCTATGATTTTATCATGGTTTAAGTATACATGTATCTTATGAGTAATTTTATACTGGTATTGCATGTACGCTCAGTTTATTTAAGAAATAAATAAAAAGTTTATAAACTTCAATGGGAGAGATACCACAAATGTATATATAAACAAGTAATTTAATTTTTTTTTTTGCATATATTGACCAACATTATTTACATCCATTCATCACGTTCATGAATTGGCTGATCAAAATTCAGTCAGTTTTAGATCTATATGATATACCATAAAGGACTTTCACATTTACAAAAGTTATTCCCCTTCGCAGGGTCGATCTGGGGTCAACCGGCTTAAGACGCTGTTTTCCCTCTTTAACCGTATCAACTTTGAGGGACAATATCTTAAAAGTAAAATCTGTATGAACATGCTCATTATGATTTTCATGTTGCCCCCATACTCTGGCAATACAGATACAGATCGTAATTGTCCAATATTTTTGAAGATTGAAAATATTAACAAGCAGAGTTCTTGAAATCTCTGAAGTCCTGTCGGCAAGACCGATAAAAACAACCAGGAACCGATCACTTTACATTCTGTGTCAGTCCAAATGACCAGTAGAGGTCGAGAAAGCAGCTTACGAAAATCCGAGTAAATTTCGTACGAATTCCCTATAATCGACCAATCATAATCTGTTAAACATTTTTTCAGTATCTCGTAATAAATGCAAGTACCAAACTATGATTGATTAATTGTTTAAACAAGTTTTTGACGCCGATAAGGTATTAGCCAGGTGAGAAAAATCAAACTAAGATTAAAAACCTATGAAGAAAATAGACCTCCCTCGGGAATTCAACGAAATTTGTTATACGATGATCAAATTCGCATGAAGTATGCAGTGTGTATTGACGGAGGGTGCCAAATGTAATGATAATAAAATTCAAATACAGTTTTAATCTTCTTAAAATTATGTTTTATTATTTTGTTGGACCGATAGACTTCCTGTGGCAGTTAGTCCAAATGACTGACAGAGGAAAAAAGATTTCAAGAACTCTGAACAAGTAACTTACAAAGGACAAGTGGGAAAAATGAGCGATACGCCGACAATTGGAGAAAACTCTTAGGAAAGTGAAATTCGTCTATTGGTGATGACTATTCCTGTTTTAATGTCACTGAAAAATTAAGAGACATTAAAAATTTAAGCCCTATTGTCATACACGCATGCTGTTTTTTCATCCATATAACCTTTTAGTATCATATAATTTACCAAAGTTTAATACTTCAAATAATACTTCAAATAATTTCATTGAATATCTATGAAATAAAGGAAACTCTAAAAACTTAGTGACTTGCAGAAATTATTCCTTGGAGAGAAAAAAATCTATCATATTTCATATAAATATGTGCATAATGAGCCTTTTTTATTCATTTAGAACATATGGTATGTGCCATATCCCCAAGAAATTTTCAAAGACAATGGACTATCTGTAAGCAGAAATCATTGATGTTTACTTACATTGGAAAAATTTATGAAAATAATTAATTTCCTATTTTTTTTAATTTTAAATAATGCTAAAAATAATTTAATCTATTAAAAATAATCTGACTGTAAAATAACATTTTTCATAATCTTAATCTATGGGCAGATCACTCTAACTTCATAAAACTACCTGATATTAAAGTATAACTCTTTAGTGTGCAGTTTTTAGAGCTTCCTTTAAGTAATCAAAATACTGACCAGCAAGAAATCAGTTAATAAGCATTCCCTTTTTTTCATTCCAATTTTTGGAGAGATCTCAGAGTTTTTTCCTGTTCAATTCAGGTTCAAGACGACAAAGTTTTATTGAAGTGTATGTATTAGAGAACTGATTGTATGCCAATCATAGCAATACACACATAACATGGAGAGGGCAAATTGTTTCAGCCCTAGCTTTTACATAAAACTTCTTGTAGCTCACAGCTGATATACCACAGTTCAGTATTTAAATAAAATTTAGAATCTTTTTTTTAGGCAATTGTCATATACATACTAATCATGAATGAATTACCACTTACCAAATGACCACATCCTGAATCATCATACATTTTCTATGATTTTATCTCACTGGTTTTCTTTTAAAGTCACATAGTTTTCTTCTCTCTGAAATGATAAATTATGTCCAGGTACTATTGCATTCTAATTTAAACTAATTATGTAATAGCATTAGCAACAACCGGGATGGCAGAAAAAATAACCAGAAGTCTCTGTGGAGACTGTAGCTCTACTGGTTTGTACTTATCAAAAACTGATGCACAGAATTATGTCTCTTAGTATAGTCTACTTGTGTGCCAAGTTATATTTAAATCAGACTAAAATTTAAGGAGGAGTAGTGTTTGCAGACAGACGGACAGACAGACTGACGGACGCCGGACGAGTTACTATCGCATAAGCTCTTCTGGTTTCTGATCAGTAGAGCTAAAAAGAAGATGCGCTTGTGAAACACAGCAACAAAGTTCGAAAATGCAATTTTTTTAGCATATAGGTCACAGTCAAGATCACATAATCATTGTCCTTGTTGCCATTTGAAAGCACTTCATTAGTGGAGTATGCATACTTTATAATTAAAGTTTGCAAAAAAATGTTTGCTGCAAGTTGTACTCCATTTTGAGAAAAGTTGACATTAGGAGGTCACTGATTATATCATCAGTTTCTTCATGGTATATTATAATTTCCCAAATACTTTGCAAAATCATAATTTCAGATCAATTTGCTTTCCTACAGTGTTTTGGTATTTCTGTTATCATGCTCAATATTCAGATTATGCCCATTTAGATGTGTGACATATATTGTGAAACACCCTGTACATGTACACAATATTGTCTTACTGAACAGATTTAGCTGTCATTAGGTCAAAATTGCAAATAATAACATGCTTCTTATATCTGTATATACAGGTAACTCTTGATGGCTTGAATTTCAATTTCTCGGAAATTCTTGATCGCTTGAAGTGAGTCTTCGGTCCAAATTTTTTCCTTTATATAACTAAGCAGATTTGCTCTTGAGTTCTCGAACTCCTGATCTCTTGAAACCCTTGATCCCTCGAAGTCAAAATGCAGTCCCGCTGTGCTGTGAATTTTACCCTTGATATCTCGAAGTGGCTTTGTGTATACCAAGTTATATTGTTCAAACTTTTGCCATAACTGTATATCTGTCTGTCTGTTGTCAACTTAAACCTTCACCATAACTTTAGAACTATACGAGATAGTGGCTTCATATTTAGTGATTTTCTGAATATTGTACAGGGTGTGATGATGAAAAATATTCAGAGCACAAATTGTTGTCTAGTTTTCATATACTGAGAATGATAAGAGAGTTTGAACTAAATTTTAAAGGTAAGATGAAAGACAGCAAAATCCTGCCCCCCCCCCCCCCGAAAAAAAAATCAAGAAGAGATGAGAACAATATTAAAGTGAAATCAATCATTGAAAAAACCTCATGAAAGTTAGATCTGAGTTTAGGAAAATGGATTGTAATAATGCCGGTTTATGCATCAAGTGTATTTAGAAATCTTAAATTTGAGTTCTTTGTCTGCATACAAGATTTTAGCATTTAAAGCCAGTTGACTTTCAGAGCTGGTTCAAGTTTGCAAGACTGACTAAAAGGAAGAGCGAAAAAAGTGGGCACCAATTAACACATGCCGGTAGTTCTGAAACGACAAATTTATTTATATGCAACTTTAAATAAAAAAAATATGTATTTTGAGGGTTCTAAAAAGCCAGATATAAATCAAGAAAAGTCTCAAGTATCCTGTGAAACTTACAAAACAGTGGTCAGAAATTTCCAAGCATTAGTCTCATAAGTTATTTTAAGGATGTAATGTTCGGAAACACTTGGAAAATAACGTTTAAGGATTTGTTGCTATAGTAACTGAAGTTGAGAATGTTGGGTACTTCTGACCCCAAAAAATAATTTGAATTTATGCTGATTAAAATGATATATAAAATGTATATGTGGCTTTAGTTGTCATTTATCTATCTGTCTTTAGATATGTGACATATATTGTGAAACACCCTGTATGTAAGTAGTTTTATTGTGCATGATTATTTACTTATTTTCTTGATCTTCTCAACTTGAAGTGTTCTGTATTTTATTATATACCTAATGTGTATCACCCAATTTTACTGTTGAATTTACACTATCACGTGACGTCGTGATCCGATTTTCCGGATCACCAACATGTTGTTTTCTGAATCCATATCACATCTCTCTGATACTGATGACGTAGTACGCAGAAAAATGACGTTATTTTTCTTGCGCGTTAAAAAGTCCCTTGTTATTATGCTTTGTTTAATGGATTAATATTATCCAATTTATCTCTAAAGGTTTATTTTAATATATTTAGCCAGTTATAAGGGGGTATATAATAAATTTATCATTATAACATAACTTGATCCGAAGAGCCGCATCACGTCTCGTTGACAGGCGCGGATCATCAGATCAAACTCGACGCTTCGCGTCTCGTTTGATCTGATGATCCGCGCCTGTCAACTCGACGTGATACGACCCTTCGGATCAAGTTACTGTTATAATAATATATATTTATTACCAAGTATGTAATGAACATAATGAAACATACCCTTTTCCACATCACATCCTGTATCAGACCTTCGACAAATATCAGCCCTAGGGCATTTGTCCCTTTGCCTGATATTGGTGTCTCGGGCTATGATGTGATATGGAAAAAAGTATTATTATTCGCTATACATTGACCTACTCAGGTCAATAATTGTGAAAAAACTGATTATTCAAGCTGATGATTCATTTGCATTTCTTGACATACTATCAATATTAATTCACTATTAGGCTTTTCTTTTTTTACATCTTCATCTCAACAGGTTAGACATTACAAAAAAAAATCTTTTGAGCAGTAAACTATTTCAATAAACAATAAAACAAACCTTATCTCTTCAGAAAAGTGGACAGGCTTTCAAGTACATTCACCTTTTTAAGTATATTTTTCCTCCATATCATCGTCATGCATATGATTAAGGGTTATGCTATATTCGCTACAATCTATTCCAACTGTTCTGATGAGGAAATCCTTCATGAATAATCGGATAAGCTGAGATTGAAGACACTTTTTGTAAAAATATCGATGCTTTTATCAAAGTTTTGAACCAAAAATATTTAATCTATACCTTGCCATAAGTCGTAAGTTCCAAAAAACAAGAGCTGGCTATCCGAAAAGTCAGAAAACACATGTATTCAAACCGGATGTTCTACAGTCTGAATTTAACTACGAAACCATGCTCGGTGTAACTATTATCATCCGGATAATTTGAGCGGGGTTAAAAAATATTTTTTTTAATTCCCAAAAGTATTCATTTGTATATAGAGAGAGAACATACATATGGAGCATACATTTTAATAAACATGATAAAAGGCGAAACGTTGCCATTTTACAACATACAGCATGTACATGCACGGTGCCTTTAATATTTGGGGCCGCCATAATCTAAGTTATGCTATATCACTGTCTCAATTTTTTTTCTCACTCTCTCTCTCTTTCTCTCTGCAATATATACACTTAACAATTTAAAACTTAGGTATCCAACTTTTCAAAATGGCGTCAGAACAAAAGTTGCCTCCGATAGTGAAGATTTGTTGTTGCCAAATATTACAACTATTTACCGTAAAAAGTTAACAAAAATATACGTACACTAATCCTTCATCGTTGGCCATTGCATTTATCACAGTCTTAAAGACACTGGGTGGTGAAACCATCTTAACTTTTCAAATTTACCAGCTGCTTACACCTTCATCTTCGTCCTTCTCGATCCTCCAAAAATGGCGCCTCGGGAAATTGACCAATGAAATAAAGCGCCTACAGAGCGATGCAGGATGGGAAATATAAACTGTTTACATTCACTATGATTAAGGGCGTATTTGTTTCCCAAAAACTGGGTTTAGTTTTGATCCAGTTTTGTAAACTGTTCATTTGTTCCACAAACTGGTTTTAAACTAGTTTAAACCCGGAACCGGTTTTCCATTTGTTTTGGCTGTAACTGAAACCAGTTCGTTAAACCAACCAAACCACCCCCGATGGTGGTTTATTCGGTTTACGACAGAGCGGGAAGTATTCCAATATGGCGGTGATGAAAGATGGTGACTATTCTAATAAAGAAAAAAGTTATAAATAATTGTTTTTTCGAGGACAAACAACTCTTGACTAAAATGCCACATTCTGATATTTGATGTTTTTTATATAAGGCTTCAGAGAATAAATAAATGCTGCATATTGAAAATAATGGTGTTTGATGAACAGAATATGTTAAATTTTCCTTTTCAAAAATAAGTTTTGGATCATTTGGACAAACTTCAACATTTATGGTAAATTATATAACATACTGTAAAGACATCTTAAATACCGGTATTGGATATCTAAAGAGTAATTATAAATAATCGAGTGTTTAATATCCTTCCGTGTGTAAAAAATGTGGAAATTGTTCATTTGATTAATCTTTGATAGGCACGTAGCATCAGAGGGGGGGGGGGGCTGGCCCCCCCACTTTTTTTTCCCTACATTACCTTTACTATAGAAAATGTCTATTGAAAAGATGGCTGCCCCCCCCCCCCCCACTTTTTACCATTTATCTTTATCAGTATATACATAGCAAGGAAATATAGGAAAAAAATTGGAAGTGAAAGCTAGGAAGTTTGCCTTGAAAAAAAGTTGAAACCCCCCCCCCCCCCCCCCCCCCCCCCCCCCCCCCCCCCCCCACGAAATAGGATTTTCGAGTTTGGGTTAGCTTAAGTTTTCATTTATTTATTTTTTTGTTTGTTTGTTTTTTTTTTTGCTTGTCAACTTTTTTTTAGGTAAGTAAAAAACATTTTCTCAGGTTGGCCCCCCCACTTTCAAAAACGATGCTACGTGCCTGTTTGAGGCATTAAAAATATAAATACTGCACTTTAGCTATACGTAAGATAATCAAAGAATATAAATACGTTAAAATTTCTTGGATTCTTTTATTAAGAAAAAGATTTTAACAAATTTATTTGCATGTGTAATTTGGTTAATACTGCACATGTATATGTTGTTCTGCATCTTTTTGACGCCATCTTGTATATACATGTATAAACTGTTCATTTGTTTTACCGAGGTAAACCGGATTGAAATTTAAACCAGTTTGAAAAACCAGTTTTTTTTTCTCATTTTTTGTTTCTTTTTAATGTCTAAATCACCATAAAATGCAGAATTTGTTGTAGCTTCTTCACATTATTTCAAAATAGTTTTATCTTTATGCATTACAGAGAAATCACAGGTCAAGTGCAAAATAAAAATTTGAAGACTTCAATTTGTTAAGAAATCATAGTAATTTGAGGTTTGAAAATTTTGTCTTGACAATATTCTATACTTTATTCTCAATGGTTTAAGTATCCTTTTGTTTATCTTTTAAGATAAGAAAATTTGAATAATTCTGCATGTTTCAGTGAAAAAATCATAAAAATTGAGCTAAAATTGACTTCACAACAAGTTTTTATAAAAATAGGTTTTTCAATGAAATATATAGCGTAAAAATAAAATTATGACTCACTTATGGCCAGGTACTGTACATTGTACTTTAAACTCCTTCGCCTTTAGCTAAAAAAAATTCCAACATATTTTAACACGTAAAATTGTTAGTAAATGAATCAGAATGTTGAAAACCTTTTTCTTAGGAGAGTTATTTCTCTAGGTGGAACAAAACTAACATCTTATTAAAGGCAGGAAAATATAACAGTATTTTAACTCAGTATTTTAGTCGTGATTGGTATAAGTGAAGTCATGGGAAATATTATGTCGAAAGTCATTTATACTCGTTGATGTGCAGGGCTGTACTTATGCATACAGTTTTAGCTGGTCCCGCCCTGTATTTCTTTAATGTTTTTTTTTTTCATTAAGAAGTCTGGTAAGGTATGCTAGTAAAAATAAAATCCCGGTTAGTTTATTACTCTAACGGAAATTACTTTCCTACAGGTCTGAAGATCGAGTCTATTGGGTTTTTTTTTAAGAGTAGCATGTCGGCGAATAAAAATAAAGTAGTGTACAACAGATAAAGAAATGTTTGTTGAAGTATTGACAAACTTCATACCTCTATAGAATGAAATCAACAAAAACTGCACAAAAATACAATCGTGACAATTATACAATGAATTAATTATACAATTAATTCTTTTAATAGATTGCCTTAGCATGCACTACTTTAAAAGCCATTGTTCTTAAGGAAAACAAAATCATGCAAAATATTATAGACTTTTCTTTATCTAGAGCAATGGCCTTTGGAGAAAAGAAATGGCTGAAAATTTTAAAGTTTGTTAAATATAATGTATGTGCATATAGGACCCTACATTGTAATTTCATGCTAAAAGTGCAGGCGTTTACTACACGGGGATCTGCGTACATATTTAAACAAAAAAGGAAAGAAAAAAATAACGTTTTATGTGATGAATTATATTATAAACATTTATCTAATAAATGTCTTTGTACGTTAGATTACAAATTTCACACAAAAACCCATCAACAATATTAAATACAGTTTTGATTTCACATTGATCTATTAACGTCATTCTGATTTAATATAATTATACACGACGAGAATTAAGATCTATTCAATACCTATAGAAAATTATTTAATTTCTAAAGAGGATAGTTTTATTTTAAATCAGTAATGAAAATTGAAATAAAAATTCTAAATAGTTTGTTCTTTCATTGAACTTCTTAAATGTAGGTTATTTTATAAATATGTTCTCTTGTATAACTTTATTTATGGAATATACAATTTTTCAAATGATAAAAGAAACACGAATCATCATCTTAATTTAAAAGAATTTTCGATCGGAGACTGTGTGTGTACATGCTCGACAACAGCCCATTGTTCCCTTTAGGTACAAAACCGTCTCAATTCACATAGAATATACAAAAAATACACAGTGACAGGTGTCTTCGCGGCACGTGTCTCCACCTGAAATGGCACGTGAGGACAGGTGTCCCTAATTACACAGGCCGACCATAGTGACGGGGGGGGGGGGGGGGGGGGGAGGCTTCTCAAAGAAAAAAATGAAAAGCAACCCACCCATCCCCAATAATAAAAATAATAATTTAATAAATTAAAAAAAAAAAAAACAATATTCACTATTAATAGTAAAATACTAGTATGATAATACTCAACCCCCAGCCAATTCGATGAATGATTCTTATCTGACCAGTTTATATTAATATATTAATTCATATTAAAACAAAATCTTTATCACTTTCTAAACTTTTATTTAAAAACTTGAAACACTTAAAATGTAATTTTGACAAACCAACTGAAGTATTTTTTTCCTGACGGATTACCCCGGTATATAAGAAATGCTAACCTTTGGTATCTAACACAAATGCCTGGTAAGGTACCTTGATGTCTTGTGAATACATGTAATTATGTAAAAATAATTCTTCAATGTCAATTGCAAAATATTGGAAAAAAATTTAATTTATTTATTTTATTGAGGAACGTCTCATCTGTCCTTAATCAGTAATCGTAACTTGACATATTTCTTAATTTACTTTTTAATCGGTCTTTCTAGTAAACCTTTTCCGTAAATAATTTCATTAAATGTACCCTTCCTTAGCTCTTCCATTTTTTCAAAGGAACATACATCATAGACAGCTTCAAGACAGTGGGATCGGAAATGATTGATTTCTACATAACTGCATGCACTTACTTTTTTCTATTCCACTTCACGCATTCTATACGAGTTTACCAAAACTTATGTGATAAATCAAATTAAATTAAATAAAATTCAGTTAAATAAAATTAAATTAAAATTGAATTGCGTTCACGGTGCTGAAATATTAAATTAATCACACAGAAATACACATCTACTTATTTTAACTGTTTGAAGTTCATTATTTTGATACAGCATGTAAATACTTCTGAAATATTTCTATAATTGGTAAAAATATGGTAAAATAATTAAATAATTAACTTTTTGTAAAATAAAAGGTAGGTGGGTTAGTATTCAGTTGATATATACTTTCAAAGTTTCCCTGCCTGGGAAACATGGGAAAAACTACACATTGGTGGCTTATATGTCGGGAATCTGTATGGAAACCACTGAGGCATGTTTACATGGTTTCCTATCGTGGGAAACCACAGGTTTGTTGTTTCCATATCGGGAATCTACATGGAAACCACCGGGGCATGTTTCCATAGTTTCCTATCTTGGGAAACTTACGGGAAACCACAGGTTGATTGTTTCCATGTCGGGAATCTATGTGGAAACCACCGGGGTATGTTTCCATGGTTTCCTATCTTGGGAAACTTACGGGAAACCACAGGTTGATTGTTTCCATGTCGGGAATCTATGTGGAAACCACTATGTGGTTTCCATAAAATGGAAACTATATGGAAACTACTGATGTCACGATTCCCATATGTTTCCATCGGGTTTCCAAATTTGGGAAACCTGGCTTTTCATCCTGTGGTTGTTCTTGTTTTTTGTTTTATTTTAAATGTATGCCTATACAATCACAATACCTGGTACACTCCCTACTCACACAAACATTCATGCCAAACCAGCTCAATTTTTTTTTCAAAATCCTTTGACATAAAATTATAATTACTAAGAAAATGGCAATTCAAATAATTTTAAAATTAAAAAGTATACATCTTATTTTAGTGCTTCTGATTATTAGTTTAGACAGTATTGTATTAAATAATTAAATTCTGAATGTAACACACTTTTTGATTGGCTAGAAAATTAGTTCAAACTGTATACCCTGGGTTGCATACGTCACAATGACTTTCGTCAAAAACATATCAATCCGCTTTACTTTACATTTAAATTTTGTACAATTTAATGTCATATTTGAGGTGAAATTGTCTATTTTCCTATACTTGATAGTAGTATATTAATTATAAGGAATGATCTTATTAGCTTCTCAAGTTATACTGTATAACCTGGGTTGGAACACTACACATTTTTACACAAACAATATACATGATATAGCGTAAACTGTCCCAATCCAGGTTATACTGTAAAACTTGGGTAGATATTAAATTTATTCCTTTAATTAATACCAGGTATTTCTTTCAATCAGAGTCATCTGTATGGATAGAATAAAATTTATTTATATTGCCAGGATTACCTTAAAATTTTACAAAAAAACCTACTTGTGTATTAATTCATTTTCTTCCAGTGGTCCATTTTCTTCTAGATATTCATAGAAGGATGTCTCTAAAACCCATCTGTTGAGACAGTTTGCAGCAAAACCCTCATGTTCGGTAATGCAGGTTCCTCCTCCCTCTTCAATCCTTGACTCAATGTCAGCATAAAAATGGCAACACTTGCATTCTCTTGCAGTTGGCATTGAAATGCAGTTTTTACAGGAACACCTCCACCCAAAAATTAAAAATGATTCCCTCACTACAAGTGTGTAAATTAAGTTTACCTTTCAAAAATTAAATGTTTAAATTATTTTGGTTAAATCCATTCACTTTGGTTATTATTTTGTTCAATCTAAATTGTTTATACAAAAATTAAATCACATATATATCTCCAATGGCTTTTTAAACTCTTAAGTATTATTTTTATTTATTCTCGTCCTTCGTCGCTGTTCAACAGCTCTCCTTTTGCTTCCTTTTCATTGTATACATTTGTATACCAATACAGGGCAATATGCATGATATGCTGATATGTTCATATGTACGTTACATGATGAACTCTTGATCCTAGAGTCAGCATAAATAAATTTATTTCTAAATACAAGATTCTTAAACATTTCATAGATTTTTAGTTAATACTACGCTTAGATACATATATGACTGTACCAGTGCATGTCTGAAGGTAGGTGTTCATCGTCGCTATGGACGCTGCATTGTACCGACTGCCCCGAGTCACTTTCATCGTCCAGTGGCTGTCTTGCTGTCTCTTGTCTTTTAACTGGCTCGTATTGATAAGGCTGCACAGTCATTTTAATAGTTAAATCGATTTCTGGTATACTTTCGTCCGTGTCACTTTCGGTAGATTCGTACAGCATGGGCGACGCCATGTTCCACTAAAGGGCAAATAACTCATATCGGACCGTTCTACCTGAGTTTCGTATTTGAGAAATTTTTTCCTGTGTATCACCGGGGTAAAAAAAAAATAATCATGGTACAATTCTTGTTTAGGTATCAACTCCCCAAATAATAAGTTAAAACAGGCTTTAAGAACCTTTTCAGTTGACCTTTAATAACTGATAAAAACAGAAGTACCAGAGGGTTACTGGTAGAGAATTCCTCTAGTCTTATAGTGACAGGACAAGGAAGAAAACACATATCTCAGTATTTAAATTTATATCATCAAGGTGTTAGTTTTTTTTGTATCTCAAAATAAACGCGGGATATCTGCTCAAACTCATGTTGTTCACCTAGCAGTAGTAACAAATTTCATAATGCTATTGATGTTCCTCCTTTTTGATTTTTTTTTTAAACATTTAAAAATTTATTTGTGCATGAAGCCTACAGATAGAGACCTGCATCGTGTCTCGGAGATATTGGAACAACTCTTGTTCTCGGTCAAAAGCCTCTTGATTGTTTTATCACCATATACCAGACATTCGAAATGGAAGTCATTTATCTGTCCAATATATCATAAATATGTTAACGAGCTATTGACAGACAGGAGAGCTATTGCACAGAAAAAAGTGCGCTCGGTTCCGGATTAATTCTTCTAAATTCTTAGTTCAACTGCAAAAAATCTAGATAAAGTATTATTTGTTACTCCTCTATTAAGAACTCTAAGAGTTGACATATGTACGAAGCGCGTTAGACCGAATTTTCTTGCAAAGCAAAATGGCAGATTGAATTAGTGAAATTTAAAATAAATAAAGGTTATGTTTAGATCTGTTTTTTAATACCTGATTAAATTTTCCTCGCGAATTGACTGTAATTACATGGTAAGTTTTCAAATAGAAACTTAAACTCGCTTAGAATAAGTCTTTTTTGCTCTGATGCAAATAATCGAGTCTTTCGACATCATTAACTTAGCTTCTTTTTTTTTACATTTAGTAGAAATAATAGTAGCTTCGATAGTTTATCGCGCATAAAGTTGTTCAAATATTCAATTCTTTTAATGTACACTATTTTCATTCTTTATCAATTTATTCTTAATTTTTTCAAGCAAATGTGTCAAGCATTTAATTTTTCTTTTTAAAGTAAAAACATAGGTAATCAAAGATTACGAAGCTCACCTCGACGAATGTTATCAGTTTAAGTAATGCAAATCTCACATATTTTCATATTTTCTTAATATTTAGCATTCATCCCAACAACAATATTCTTGCAAGTTGTGTTTAACCCCTTACATGGCATATACACACTTCTAAGCCTGTAGCGTGAAAAATATGTATATGTATAGTGTAAACAAATATTCATAACTGTTAATACTGCATATATCAAGGTCTTCAAGTTCATTCGGATTGATCTGTTCCCAAAACTTTAACCAAGTCTCTTGTATGGAAAATATAGGTCAGATCCAGCATCCGAAGCAAGTCTGATAGTGTCCATCCTTAGATGCATCATCCATGCAAGTTTGGTTAACCTAGGGCTTATAGTTACTTGGGAATGAAAATGTAGGTCAGATCCAGCATCCGAAGCAAGTCTGGTAGTGTCCATCCCTAGATACATCATTCATGCAAGTTTAGTTTAGCTAGGGCTTATAGATACTTGGGAATGTAAATATAGGTCAGATCCAGCATCCGAAGCTAGTCTGGTAATGTCCATCCCTAGATGCATCACCCATGCAAGTTTGGTCCAAATAGGGCTTATAGTTACTTGGGAATGAGAATGTAGGTCAGATCCAGCATCTGAAGCAAGTCTGGTAGTGTACATCCCTGGATGCATCATCCCTGCAAGTTTGGTCCAAATAGGGCTTATAGTTCCTGTGGAATGGACCTGCTCCAAAAACTTTAACCTGGTCACTCACCTGGAAAATGTAGGTCAGATCCAGCATCCGAAGCAAGTTTGGTAGTGTACATCCCTAGATGCATCATCCATGCAAGTTTGGTTCGAGTAGGGCTTATAGTTCCTTGGGAATGGACCTGCTCCAAAAACTTTAACCTGGTCACTCATCTGGAAAATGAAGGTCAGATCCAGCATCCGAAGCAAGTCTGGTAGTGTACATCCCTAGATGCATCATCCATGCAAGTTTGGTCCAAATAGGGCTTATAGTTCCTGTGGAATGTACCTGCTCCAAAAACTTTAACCTGGTCACTCATCTGGAAAATGTAGGTCAGATCCAGCATCCGAAGCAAGTTTGGTAGTGTACATCCCTAGATGCATCATCCATGCAAGTTTGGTTCGAGTAGGGCTTATAGTTCCTTGGGAATGGACCTGCTCCAAAAACTTTAACCTGGTCACTCATCTGGAAAATGTAGGTCAGATCCAGCATCCGAAGCAAGTCTGGTAGTGTACATCCCTAGATGCATCATCCATGCAAGTTTGGTCTGGGTAGGGCTTATAATTCCATGGGAATGGACCTGCTCCAAAAACTTTAACCTGGTCACTCATCTGGAAAATGTAGGTCAGATCCAGCATCCGAAGCAAGTTTGGTAGTGTACATCCCTAGATGCATCATCCATGCAAGTTTGGTTTAGGTAGGGCTTATAGTTACTTGGGAATGGACTTGCTCCTAAAACTTTAACCTGGGACGCCGACGCTAACGCCGACGCCGACGCCAACGCCGGGGGTATAGCATAAGCTCATCTCGACTTCGTCGAGGTGAGCTAAAAAATTTACACACATCTTCCATGAAATTTTTTTTTTCAATTTTCCTTGTAAATAAATTCATTACTGTTGTATTCCGAGTAATATTATTAGAATACATACTAAAACATCTTAACATTAATCAGGAAGTCAGGATTTTATTTTTATAACTGATAAAACAGAAGTACCAGGGGGTACTGGTAGAGAGTTCCTCTAGTCTTCTAGTGACAGGAAAGGAAGAAAATAAGTCTCAGTATCTATATATTTATCATCAAAATGTTAGGTTTTTCGTAACTAAAAATAAATGCAGAAATTCTACACAAACGTATGTTGTTCACCTTATTAACTAAAAGCCACATAAATTTATGCTATTCATGTTTTTCCTTGTTGAATCTGTTTTAAACATTGAAAAATTCCTTTGTGCATGTGGTCTACTGGTAGAGACGTGTTCCATGTCTGGGGGATATTGGTGCAATTTTCGTTCTCGGGCGAAACCCTCTGATTGTTGTTTCCCCATATACCAGACATTCGAAATGGAAGTCTTGTCCTATATGTCCTAAATATCTTAATTTTTAACATGCCTTTGTGCTAAACAGAATCCTCACAGCGATACGGTCTCTTGCGTCAAACTTTCTGAACCTGAAAATTGATTTAAACGTAACTTATAAGTTACTTATCTTTATTTCTGTGAAAGAAATATTTAGGGGCCAACCCTTCAACTCCTTAATGGGGACGTTTAGCAAAAAATTAAAGGTTGCATATTGTTTAGAACATTATTTTGAACATCTTTTGTTCAATATTGCTTCTCAAAATATTTCTGCCTTTCGAGATATAAAGCGTCAAAGATTTAGCATTCTGGCCCCTTGTGGCCCCTAATTATGTAACATACGACATTAAAATCATAATATATAGTTGTAGATCGTTGAGATAAACATCTTTGCTTCAGTAACATATTACAAAATATTAACTAATAAAGAGTTATCGATTGAAGACTTTTGGCCCCTCTTGGCCCCTAATTCGAGTGCCCAGCCCCTTTTTCATGATCTCATCGTACAGCTCTTAAGATTTTGAACATTTTTTGTTCAACAATTAATCAGAAATTCTTTTTCGTTTTTGAGCTATTAGCAGAAGAAATATTTAGGGGCCAACCCTTCAACTCCTTAATGGGGATGTTTAGCAAAAAATGAAAGGTTGCATATTGTTTAGAACATTAATTTGAACATCTTTTGTTCAATATTACATATCAAAATATTTCTCACTCTCGAGATATAAAGCGTCAAAGATTTAGCATTCTGGCCCCTTGTGGCCCCTAATTATGTAACATACGACATTAAAATTATAATATATAGTTGTAGATCGTTAAGATAAACATTTTTGCTTCAGTAATGTATTACAAAATATTGACTGTTACAGAGTTATCGTATAAAGATTTTTGGCCCCTGTCGGCCCCTAATGTGATGAGTCAGCACTTTTTTCTTGATATCATATTAAAGATCTTGTCATTCTGCACAAATATTGCTCAGTATGTTTTTACAAAATAACTATACTTTAAAAGATATGAAGGAAAATGTCTCAAAATTTCAGTCATGATTCATGTCCTAATTTTTGACCCCTACCGAGCTTCCATACTAAGCCCTTCCGGAATATTTGAAAGTATAGGTGCAAAACTATAATATGTTGTCTATCAGTCCTGAAAAGGACAGCATTCTAGCTTTTGTCGTCTTTGAGTTTTTGTCCGGACAAAATGGTCACTAAAAATTCGATTAAAGGGCGATAACTTCCGACCGGAAGTGATTTTTCGGAAAATAAAAAAAAGTATCAGGTTTAGTTCATGATACATCATTCCTGAAAATTTCAAGGC